CTTTTGCCGCCGGGGGTCGTGTTACGTGATTTCATCTGACTGAAAGAGGGCATGGTGGGGCATACCCAAAAAAGGTGCCTCAGACTGATAGTAAAGAAGTGGACGTTGTTGGTGAGCTGCGTTGTGGCTGCGGACTCACAGCTGTTATTTTCCACGTAACAATATGGTGGTTTGGGACGTTGAACCCGGCATACGAAGTTCGGCGTTAGCGAGCTCCTGGCGTACGATGGTCTGTATTAAAGAAATCTCGTAAGAATCATCATGGCCACGACCTTGCATGGGGACTGGAGCTGCAGCTTCGATTATGCGGCGGACGAGGCGTACAATGTTCTCATCTGCAGCAGGAGCAGGTGGCGGATGGATGTCCTCTTATGTAGACGTCCCTGCGTAGTTGGGAAGGCGTGAAAAATTTGGAGCAATGCGACGACTTTTCGCTTGTTCATAGCACCGACATTTGCTAATAACGTTCTTTTTGTCGACGAGTTCTTCAATACCAGGGAAGTAAATGCATTATGTGTGATCCCTTTGAAGATGTGTGCAACCCTTTTCAGGTTCTGGCATCTTGTAGTCAACTTGCGAGTAGGCGCGGACACATCGTTAATATATGTTAGGTATGGATCGGAGCAGGTTTGCAGTCGGCACGCGATTTGCTTCTGCGCAGCGCGGCGTCGCCCAATGGGCTTGTCGAATACTTCAATTAAGTTTGCGCTTGCAGATAACCCCACCTCCCTATCTCTTGTTCATGGCTGCAAAACCAAACTTTGGCCGTTCCCTCAAGGTAAAAGAGGATGTTGGCCAGCATGCGCTTAGCGTGTCAGTTGTGCAGCGCACTCACTCGGTCATAGAGCGGAACCCAATCCTTGACACATTTGTTGTCAGTGCCAGAAAAAAGTACCTGGGTCACGTGCTTGTGTGAGGACGACAGTGCCGTTAGTGGCGGTTCGTTCGGGCGTGGCAAGCCTGGCTGGCCCAGGCACGGCTGGGGACGTTTCCGATGCATCCTCGTAATCCTTTTGAACAGACAATACCTAGGCAGCCAAAGAGCGTCCGCTACAAAGAAATGGTGAAAGCTGGGAGGACGCAGCAGTTCCACGAAAATGTTACGGGAAAAAAGGTGTCACAGCGTATATTTACACGGTATGTATAAAACACCTAACGCCTAACATAGAAGACAGAGCCAAGTACATCCGAATATCACTGAACGTCGTCTTCCTATTTGCTATTTTCGTCGTCATCTTTGACAACGTATGTAGCAATATTGAAGGGACTGGTTTTACTCGACCGACAGCATGCATAAAGAATGGCTTGAATGTCCGCCAGCCTTTAGCAGCTACGACTTAGGCATACTTTTCTCGTCGTGCTTCCATGGGTCTAGATTTCGTTTGTCATTCGCACTTTATGTACTCACGGTAGTGGATACTTCTATATTTAATTCTCTTTCTCCCTTTTTTTCATTCCCCGCTTCCTCTGACTTTTTCTTTCTTCTTGTTTGTTTTTATTTATTTCTCACTTTCTTTCTCTTTACATGTTACACTCTGTTTATTTTGCCTACTCGTTATCTTCTTTTATCGTTTTTTTCGGTGTCTCTTTTAATGTTTTCCCACCCTTTTTTATTGCGGCAGCAAGGGTGTGAACAATCTCGGCCTGTTTTTTGCATGCGACGCATTTCGATAGCTGGAACTTCAGTGACTAGATGACCTATCTATCTATCTAATTCTATCTATCTATCTACTCTATCTATCCTATCTATCTATCGACTATCTATCATCTATCTATCTATCTATACTATCTATCTATCTATCTATCTATCTATCTATCTATCTATCTATCTATCTATCTATCTATCTATCTATCTATCTATCTATCTATCTATCTATCTATCTATCTATCTATCTGTCTGTCTGTCTGTCTGTCTGTCTGTCTGTCTGTCTGTCTGTCTGCTGTCTGTCTGTCTGTCTGTCTGTCTGTCTGTCTATCTATCTATCTATCTATCTATCTATCTATCTATCTACTATCTATCTATCTATCTATTCTATCTATCTACTATCTATCTATCTATCGTTCTATCTATCTATCTATCTATCTATCTATCTATCTATCTATCTATCTATCTATCTATCTATCTATCTTCTCTCACACTCTCCGGCGTGCACCACTTCACCAAGCCGAGTTTACCTTTGTCGTTCACATCTAATGTGTTCGTGGTAGTAAGGCTTGGCCTAGTTTATTCATTTATTGTCATTTCGTTCTCTCTAGCTTCCTGAATTGACAAATTACTATATAACCCACTTCTGCGGGTAGTACGCATACCAACCTGGGGTTTTAGGCGAAAGCCAAAGTTTTTACAGCCCTCTTGAGCAGCTAACCTGTTGTAAAATGCCAGCCTAATGCAGCATCGTGAAAATAAGCTACCACACAATGTCTGCTGGCGACCGAATAGCCATACATGTGATGCAGCTTTGCTCCATATTAACTCGCAGATGTCAAGCAACTTGGGTACCATGGTGTATTTCTTATACTTGTTCGTCTAGAAGTGAGCATAAACGTTAGGTGGCCGGGTTAAATATGGAGACTCACTTTTCATGTTCACGTTGAAACTCAACTATAGGAGAAAATAAACATACGCAACAAACGCAAAATTGGGCACATTAGAACACGACATGGGTAATTCCTATGTATTGATCAATCACTTTACTAACCGAAGTGTATTATGCCTAATCTATTTGTTTATTCTTTCTATATTTTGTGTATTATCAGGTTGTTTTCTTGATTTATTTCATGTAGATGTTAATAGTAAGTAAAACTTACAACTACCCGTAAGAAGCTGGATGAAAAAGCTCTCTTATAGTTAGAAGGGCCAAAGTAGGGGCTAGTTGGTTGTAAATGCTTGATACTTACAATGCGCTAGAATTGAACACTAAAAGACACACTCAGGCACAGGTAGGCAACACACAAGCTTTCTTATAGGCAGGTTAGATTGCAGTTGTGGCTGTCGCCTTTTGATAGAGACGAAATGCTAGAAGCTCGTATACTATGCGACATGTCAATGGACGTTAAAGAGCACTAGGTGCTTGAAATTTCTGAAGCCCTTCTCTACGGCGGCTTTTACAATCATATCGTGTTGTGGATACGCAAAGTCTCAGACGTGACTGAATTTACAACAGGCTGCTCTAATGCAATGACTTCTGTTGCGCCTTCACAGGGCGAGAAAGGAGACCGGGGCTTTACTGGACCACAGGGAGCACCGGGAAAGATGGGACCAAAGGTGAGCAGCTGTGGTTTGCATTGTGCTCATTTCGGATGTCACGCTTTCTTTCACTCACTTTCTGAATAATATTACTCTCCATGTAGGAACATTGTTACACCGCCGGAAATGGTAGTTCTTTAGATCGCGTTGCACGTGGCGTTTGCGTTCAGAGGCTGACCTACATCGTCCACGGTGGCCTTCAATGGTGCTGCTAAGATTGTCGTAATCAGTTTTTCAAGCCTACTTTTCTCGTTAGTGCAAAAAAGGCAATGGATTGCATGTGCAGTTACCATGGGAAAAAAGTAATCAAATACATACTCGAGAGTTAAAAATTATTGTCTATTTTCGTTTTGATAAACTCTTTAATACGGCAGCATACTATACACGCACACTATGGGATAAGTACAGAGACGGCCTGTAAATAGAGTTCGAAGATTCGGTACCGGCAGGTAGTACCTCAAGTTTTTCTTGCAGGTTATTTTTGAGATGTAAGCTGCCATTCCTAAATTCAAGCTGAGTTTTCAAATTTCACATAAGAAATTCTGCTACTTATCTCCAGGTACCAACTTTTGTGACTCAAATTAGAGGGGGCCTCTCAAATAATGGCATGCATTTATGTCTCATGATATTTTAAATTCTCGAAGTGTCCGCGTTACCCCGTGAATACGTCCACTGCTACGCTGACGACCCTTTTCACAGGCGCACTAGAGGGAACCCTGGTGCCGTACTGTGGAGACACTTTGCATGCTAATTCGTGACTAAGCAGCGCTTCAATGCATGGCTCCGAGTTGCCCGGGAAACTACATGCTGCATAGATTTTGGTACTTCAGAAAGGCATTACAAAGAGCAAAAAGTTTAAAATATTGTGCGTAGAACACTTCAATGGATTGGAGTTTTATCTCTCTCTCTTTTATAAAAAGTATGCTCTTTGGCGATCCATGGCCACTGCCTAGTTTGTGTGCGAAAACAACAGTTAAACAACAGTTATCAAGGCACTTCAATAAAGTGGCGAAAATAAAGTTATATAGTATCTAGTAAAAACCAGTAAGGAATCAATACAGCACACGAAATAACCACACAGTAGTATAACCTCGCAAAATCAGAACTATATGCATTATAAAAATAGAAACTACTAGCAGGCTAAACGTGACTTTCGAAGATTATCTCATTCTCTAAGATAGTGCTTTTTCTATGCGTTTGTAAAATTTAATTTTTTTCAAAAGGTGTAATATTTCAGAATTAAGTTCTGTGGATTGTAAAAGACGTTCCCAAAATATGTTGTTAGTTCATGGAATATTCTACTTACCATAGGTTGGTTGTGGGGTAAACGACCTGAGTAATGAAAAATTAACACTTCTTAAGGCTGGTTACTATCAACAGTGTATACATGCTGGCTAGTTTAACTTCCATAGCTTGTCGATGGACAGAATTTCTAATCGTCAAAAGAAACATTCGATGGCTCATTATGGTTGGAATGAGTAATGCTTCTCACACCACGTTCTCGAAGTTGTCTAACGAAGTACCGGGAAGTTTTGTGCGTGCCACTCTAAGACCTAATGCAATACAAGGTGTGGTAATAAATAAAAGCGTATTAAAGTGTTCGGAGGTCAGTGGTGTCGAAGCGTTCGAAAGCCTGAGTAAACACATAACATCCTTAGGCCAATTCGAGACACACGTTTTTAATCTGTGTCTGCCATTGCAAATTGTTGTCTATAGCGACTCCAAGATATTTATTCGTAGTTACTTGTCCATCACAAAATAATCAATTTCTATGTTCATATGACTCGCTATTATAAATTTGAAGTCAGATTGAAAGGTGATACGCTTAATTCTATCGGTGTTACCAGATGAGCTTCTTAATAGTAGATAACATTCAGCTATTGACCTTTGATTCAGGATAATTTAGATTATTAGCTGTAGCTATATTAGCAGTAGAGTCAGCGTACATCGATACAATAACAGACAAATGCGGGAAGCAGGTCGGCAGGCAGCAAAGGTAGCCGTAAACAACTCTCTGGAATACCGGTTGTCAAGTGGCTCATTGAAGACATGAAATCATTTATTAGCATGTCCTGTCGATTACCTTTGAGGTGGTCCGGAAGAAGTTCAAATGAGGTGCCACGGATACAATAATACGCTCATTTCTGTAGTACTGTACTGTATCTATAATATCAAATACTGCTTTGTGGTCGGGAGAGATACCTTCTAGTAACTTAGTTTAATTCAGTGCTGTGTTCTTAGTTGAGTAAGGGTAATAACAGCGTTAGAGGGGGAATAGTTTCTTCTGAATGCATGTTTGTGATGGGCAAACGTGCTATATTTTGAAATAAACTATCAGTGAATGTCAAAAATTTTTTCAACATGTTAATTAAGCTCAAAGCGAATATTAGACGGATAATTAGATGGGCTAAAATTACGAGGTTAGCTTTGACATTTCTAAACTAAAAGGGTACGCAAATGCTTGCACAGGAGGGTTAAATAGGTGACTCAAAACTAGTCGAAGGAGGAGTACCTTTTACTTAGAAGCCTTATATGCATTCCATCTGAGCCTGCTGATTTATTCATTGACATTTTCAGCGCAGTCAATCTAAATGTCTTCAAAATTGATGTCATATATGACAAAAATATTGATGGAGTCGAAGGGACCATGTTCATAATTAGACTGGATATACTTTCTAAAGTTAAGGTTGGGCCAATAGTGCAAATCAGTGCGACCGATAGGATTGAACAGAAAGCAGCACAAACAGTGATTTCGGTTGTTATGATTTACGCTCATAATCATGTAGTACAAACACACCTAGCCTACTGTTTTCTAAATGAGCGAATAGAGGCAAAGTAAGTGTTAAACTATTCAACTGTGTCAGTGTCGATGACACCAGGAAGCACCTCCGGAGCTGGAAGGCTGCCAACAATATCCTTTACAATTTGCCAAATCCTTTTCGAAATTACCACTCACCAGCTCGTCCGCCATGCGTGATAATCTCTTTTACTTGTCATCAGCGCAACGAATGTAATGCGCATTGATTTAAAGGGATGTCACTACTATTCGTTATATTTGTGCCGTTTACATTCGTCATATCACCAATCTTTGCTCCGTATGACTTCCAGAATTTCTCTATTCCTCCTGGGACTTGACTGTCCGTCGCTTGAATGAACCGAAACTTTCATACTTTTTTCTTTTTACTGAGTCTTCAAAAAGATAAATCAAGTTTGAAAAATCAATATTAACACCATAATATTTTCCATTGAACCAATATCTCAGCAGCAAATTTTTCTTAACACCACGTAGTCTATTTTTTCAGAAACCTAGGCACATCACGTTGATTATTCTTTAGGCTATCAACCAAGACGAATATCAGGAAACGATCTGTTTTAATCTTACCATTTATTACGGCAGTAATCTCTTTCTCAGACATTGTTAAAGCATTACCTGTCAATCTAGCTGAGGTACCGCTTATTCGAGTAGATGTAATGACGAAGTTGCGAAAGGGATACGAATGTAACGAGTACATGTACTCACGATTCGGGAGACTACAGGTATGAATGTCTATATTGCCGTATATTGCTGAAACTTTTCATGTTTCTTTTTAACTTAAAATAATTATTATGTTCAATAAAAGTACAAAAAAAGCCAATCACCATGCTTTTTAATTTAGTCATGGCGCAGGTGCCGTATTACCTCTCACCTGACATAAAATGTTCAGTATGTGCTGATGACATAAATATATGGGCGTCTGGTCGATCAATTTTTGGATTAAGATTGTATTAAGGAGACCGTTTTTGTACAAGAAGAGGTACGGCTGTGAGTCTGGCAAAAACAACCACACTACTATTTACATTAAAAAGACCTGAAGAGTTCCAAATTAATCTGAACTCTTTCAACTGATGAAAACTACTAGATTCTTAGGTGTTATTTCAGTCCGGAAACTAACATAGTCACCTCATGTTCAGTACCTTTAGGAAAAACTGAAGCAAGAGAATCGAACGCTGCGTTATCTTTGCGGGTCGAAAGGACGCGGTACTACAGAGTCGCTGTAGTTGGTCCTACATGTTGCCTGGATACGCCACATGGTGAGTGACTCCCTGCCTCTGCTGCGCGGACGTCCAGCCTCCACCGAAAGAAGATTTCACTTGTTATGTGCAAGGAGCTTAGGGAATGTTTGGGGTCGCTATGGTTGACTTCCAGCGATTTTGCGTATGCAAAAGCTTGATAACCACCTTTGGCAATACCCCAAACGAGTGGAGCATCTAAAAATTTATTTAAAATTTTCACGCAGCATGACAGTCATCCGTTATGTAGTGAACTAACACAAAGGACGGCAACGCGACTACAGGACAGTGTGCCATCATTCCACGCAGTAGTACTAGGATATAAATTATGAAAACTACCTCATACACCTTGGGCGGTGCCGGTTCAGAACGTTATCAGAGAAAACGATTGCATACGGAAGAAAGCAGACATGACGCCGCAATGGTAGCACAGATGGTGCTTTATTATTTTCATATAATGCACAATGAGAAGACGAAGATATATACAGATGGGTCGTGCACTGAAGAAGGATAAGCCTGTGCGGTCTTTATACCCAAAAGTCAAGAAAAGAGATTGTATAAGTTACAGCAGAAATCTTCATCAACAATATTAGAATTGCAGGTCATTTTTGAAGCAGTTAAATGTATCTGTGAGAATTCTTGGACATGACAGTGGTTGGTATGCATGAATAGCAAACCCGTCCTTCACATAAACATGCAACATCATCTTACATAAATGGCGAAATAGCACAATGTATTGCAGAAAGTGTGATATGCCTCAGCGCCGCGTCACGACATCGTATTCCAATGGATAGCTAGCCCAATTGGAATAATGAGTAATGAAGAGGCAGACAACCTCGCCAGAAAAACTTTGAACGAAGGACATGATTGTGCGCTCTTGATGTTTAGTGTGGATATTCAAAATTTCGTAATGCAAGGCGCCAACCGCTGTTCTACGAAAAAGCGGGTGATAGCACTAATTAAAAAAT